AAGATCTGATCAGTGCTGACTAGAAAAATTCTAAGGTCCAAAACTTGGGTCCCTCTTCTTTTTGCCTGCAGGGTTTCAATTCAGAATCTCATACAAACCCAGCCTTTGAAGTTCCTGAGATTCCTTCTTAAAATTGCATGTGGCAAGACAGTGAAGAAGAGGGCCCTTGACAGACCTGAGGAGGTACACCTGGGAAAAGGATGCTGGTGAAGAACAGGTGAGCAAGAACACATGGGAAATGACCAGCCCGGTGGGTGCATGTGACGAGAAAATAGATGTGTTGGATAATAAAGATTTCTTCAACAAAATTGAGCATGTTTTAAACAAATGCAAATACTTCTGTAAGGACCTTGCAGTTTATAATATCTTTTTTTTTAAAGATTTTATTCATTTATTTGAGAGAGAAAGAGAGAGAGTATGAGAAGGGAGAAGGTCAAAGGGAGAAGCAGACTCCTCATGGAGCTGGGAGCCCAATGTGGGACTCGATTCCGGGACTCCAGGACCTGAGCCGAAGGCAGTCACTCAAGCAACTGAGCCACCCAGGCGCCCTCTTTTTTTTTGTTGTTTTTTTAAATTAAGATTTTATTGATTTGAGGGGCTCTTGGGTAGCTCAGTCGTTAAGCATCTGCCTTGGGCTCCGGTGCTCCGGTCATGATCCCAGAGTCCTGGGATCAAGCCCCACATTGGGCTCCCGGCTTGCGGGAGGCCTACTTCTCCCTCTCCCAGTCCCCCTGCTTGTGTTTCCTCTCTGGCTGTGTCTCTCTGTCAAATAAATAAATAAAATCTTAAAACAAAAAGATTTTATTGATTTGAGAGAGAGCATGAGCAGGGTGAGGGGCAAAGGAAGAGGGAGAAGCAGACTCCCCGCTGAGCAGGGAGCTCGATGTGGGGCTCGATCCTAGGACCCCAGGATCATGACCTGAACTGAAGGGAGATGCTCAACAAACCGAACCACCCAGGTGCCATTTTTTTTTAATACCTTATTTCCCCCCCGCCTTGTGTTTTCTAAACAACTTTTGGGCATGTGCTCAGTTACACACACACACACACACACACACACATGCACATACATCTTGATTTAGGATTTTAGAACTGCTGAATACCTTTAAGCCACTGAGTAATAATTTTACCCTCTAAATACTTTCAGTGGTTTGTAATATTTTCCACTTGGGCAGGAGCTTTGGCAGGAGCTAATACGCAAGTAGGAGCAAGTTATGGGAAGGGCCACACCTGCTGAGAAGCAAAGCAACTCCTTCATCCAGGAACAAAGCAAGCTTATCGTAAAAGACAACACCTGAAAAATCTGGTTGAGACACCTGTGATGCACACCGCAGATACCTACCAGCTTACTTTCTCGTATCTCCGTAAGAGCCATTTTTACAGTGACTTTTTAAAAACATGCTCTAACACTTCTAAGTCATTAGAGACGACAGTATTGTAGCTAACCTGAAAGAGAAGGATGCGGGCAACATTTAGGACAGAATGGAAATATTCTTGTCCTCATACTTTTAAGCGAGAACCTGAGACTTTCTCTCCTCAGCAATTCTTAAGGTCTGTTGGCACTCAGGTAGTGGGGAATGACCTAGTTTTGAGGATGACATATAGAGTGTGACATGTTGCACTCTGGAAGGGAAATACATAATATTTTTTTAAGATTTTATTTATTTGACAGAGAGATCACAAGTAGGCAGAGAGACAAGCAGAGAGAGAGAGAGAGAGGGAGGAGGAAGCAGGCTCCCTGCCTAGCAGAGAGCCTGATGTGGGATTCGATCCCAGGACCCTAAGATCATGACCTGAGCCGAAGGCAGAGGCTTAACCCACTGAGCCACCCAGGCAGCCCAATACATAATTTTTAAAAACTAACCATTCAACATTATTAAAAATTTCCACTTTAATGATTTGAGACATAACAAACACATTTATCTGAAATTCTGTTAGGAGGCTTCACCTGACCTATATGCATCATTTATTCAACATTTCTTGAACATCTACAATATATAAGGGCACCAGGAATACTGCAGTGAACCCTGTTTTCACATAGTTCATATTCTAGTGGGGAGAGATTGGCAACAAACAAAGGAAGAAATAGACAATGTGTCAGAGGAAAAATGAAACAAGCTAAGAGCTCGGGGGAATGATAGGGTTGCTCTTTTATGAGGGTCATAACGATGGGGATAGTGAATTTAGTTGGTGAGATGGGGGCTGACACCTGAATGGAGATAGTCAGTAATGTGACAATGTGGAGGAAGAATGGATCCTAGATAGAAGGTTTAGCAAGTACAGAGTTCCTAGAGTAGAAACATGTTTGGAATGTTTAAAAAGCCTTAAAAAGGCCAGTATGGCTAGAGTGGGGGTGATGGCAGGGAAGAGGGGTCGGTAGTCCATAAGACACTTGCACAAGCGGCCAAATATGCAGTCTTAGAGCCAAGAAAGGGACTTGGTAGTTTAAGTATGTTGAGAAGCAAGTTCAGGTTCCTAGCAGGGGAGTGACCTGATGCGAACAAAGACAGGATCATCTTGCTGTATGCCTCACAGATTGTAAGCAGCAAAGCGGAACAGCCCATTGGGAGAGTACCATGGTAAGCTAGACAAGAAAAGATGGGAACTGGAATGACAGCTGTACCCGTGGAGGTGCCAGGAAGTATTCAGATGTATCTTGAATATACAGCCAGTGTGACTTGCTTAAGGATCAGAGATCAGGGTCAAGCACCACATTGGTGTAACAGCTATCATCTGCCACTGGGTCTTCTGATTCTCCATTCATTGCTCCTTGTCACACCAACCTCTTCTTGCGTTTAATTTCATATTGCCATATTCATATTCATAATATTGATAATATTCATAATTTAGTGTTTAACTTCATAATGCCATACGAACTATTCTTTTCAGGGAATATATTTGAAGTGTTCTCATTATAGAACCTGGCTAGTTGGAATCTATTTCACAAACTGTTAAATGCAAGTGGAAAGTGCTACATTGAAATAGTCATGATATTGAACCCTTTGGCAACTAGTTCAGATGTATCAAAGATAGCAGTGATATTCAGACGTGCACTATATAGATAATACATATTAATTCACAATTACTGTGTTACCAAAGACATCTTTTGATTAGGTATACATACCTAAGAAAACACTTATTTATAAGTAGTCAGCAAACTTTGAAAATACTCAATGCTTGGGGCGCCTGGGTGGCTCACTGGGTTAAGGCCTCTCCCTTCCGCTCAGGTCATGATCTCGGGGACCTGGGATCGAGCCCCGCATCAGGCTATCTGCTCGCAGGAGCCTGCTTCCCTTTCTCTCTCTCCCTGCCTGCCTCTCTGTCTACTTCTGGTCTCTGTCTGTCAAATAAATAAACAAAATCTTAAAAAAAAAAAAAAAAAAGAAAGAAAGAAAATACTCAACGCTTTTTTTGCTGTGAATAAACTTCTAGACCTTGAACTGTCAGAATTTGCATTCTTCTCAACTTTCAACAAACCAGATATTGAACGTCTGTCTAGTGTCAGACACTAGACATGAAATAAATAAATGGTTCCTTTTCACCAAGTAAACAGGCAAAAACAAAAAAGAAGCAAAAAAATTTAAAATACAAACACCCGTTGAAAACTATTGATCAGGTCATGCTAGAATAAACAGAACAGCTAAATTTTGTGGAATTGTCAGGAAAAGTTTTCCTAGATATGTGAGCATGGGTTTTAAGAAAAAGAATCAGATTTGGCAGGTAGAATATTCTAGATAAGGAATATACAGCACAGAGAGGCTAAAAGGTAGAAGTAAGCCAAGGCATATTAGTCCGCACCCAGGTGTAACAGGACTGGATTATTATTAGCTGAGGGTGGAGGAGGCAATTAGAGGAAAGCTGTAAACATAAGGCAAGCAGTTCACAGCTGACATCTGAAAAATAGTGCGATTTAAAAAAAATTTTAAGTTTTTTTGGTTTGTTTTGCTGTTGGTGATATACATTACAAACAGGTGCAACTGAACTCAGATTTTTACATTCATACATCCCTCAGGATTCATCAGTGTTTGTTTTTGTTTATTAAGTTTATTTTCTTTTGATGTTTATTAAGTTCTCTTAATACACTTTTTAAAAAGTCAAAACACACCATGGAAAAGTTTTCACCAAGGAAACGATCCAAAGAGATTACACATCAGTTAACAAAGTTGAGCGGTTTTCTATCCCCCGCTTCCAAGCCAGTGTACAGTAAACTTTTAAGTCGGAAAAAACTGTTTTAATGACGAGATGCCTTTAAAATGTTTAGCACAGCGGCTCCTGGGGGGCTCAATCCGTTAAGCGGCCAGCGCTACATCTGGGCTCAGGTCTTTATCTCTGGTGAGTTCCCCTGGGCTTTGGGCTCCACGCTGGGTGTGGACCCTACTTAAAAAAAAAAAAAAATGCTTAGCAAATTGCCTGGCCCCAGGGCCCACACCACACACTTCAGGTTTTTATTTTGACCTTTGGACTTTAGACCTCTCAACTATTTGGGATTCTGTTTTCTCATTTTCAGAGGAGGAAAAAGGTCACCGATAGTCCCTTAGGCTCCTGCCAGCCCTGACAATCTCCTGTTTCCAGCAGGCGTCGAATGATATTTGCTGAACAAACGGACAAAATAAACTCTCTCTCCAAGGGGTCGGGCTAAACGCCCACCAGAGAACCAGCCGGGATAGAGGACAGGCTAGGGCGTTGGTCCGACACGCTAGTGTTTGGAGGTGGAGAACACATCACACGCCCCCCTCTCCAAGACCAACAGTTTGCGATCTTAGCCCCACCCGCGGTCAAGTCCTTACTCCTCTCCGGCCCCGGCGAGCCCATCTGTCCCGCGGGGCCCCGCCTGCGGCCGGAATAGCTCTTCCCAGCCAGCGGGGTAGCCTCCCACCTCCGCGGCGCTCCGGACACGCCCCTTCCGGCCGAGGACCCGCCCATCGCCTTCGCCCGCGGCCCCGCCCCTCCCCGAGCTCAGAGCTCGGTCCTCTCAGCGCCCGTCGCCGGCCGCGTCCACCCACGACGCTCTGAGGTCACCGACTGGGCCGGACCGCGGGGGGCGGAGGGACGGAGGAAAGATGGCGGCCGAGGCCGGATATTGGCGCCGCCTCCCCCAATCCTGGAGCCGGCGCAGATGAGGCGGCTCGGCTGGGGCCAGCGGCGCTTCGGAACCCGAGCTGGGGGGACCCTGGCGGTGGGGCCTGGCCCTGCTGTATGCCGGCGCCTCGGCTAGAGTGAGCGGCGGCGGCGACGCCTCTTTCCCCTGTCCCTCTCCCTGTCGCTGTGAGTCCGAGCGGGTGGCGGGCGGCACCGGCGGCGGGCCCGGGATGGAGGACGTTAACTCCAACGTGAACGCGGACCAGGAGGTGCGGAAGCTGCAGGAGCTGGTGAAGAAGCTGGAGAAGCAGAACGAACAGCTGAGGAGCCGCTCGGGGGCCGTGCAGGGCGTCGGCTCCCTCGGGCCCGGCAGTCCGGTTCGGGCTGGCTCGTCCACTCCCTCGTCCGGCGCGGCGTCCCCTCGGGGCTTCCCCTTGGGCCTCAACGCCAAGTCCGGTAGCGGTGTCGGGTCGGGCCCGAGGCGGACGAGTAGCGAGGAGCTGCGGGACGCCACCTCCTTGCTGGCAGCGGGCGAGGGCGGCTTGCTGGACGAGGTGGAGCCGCTGCGGCCCGAGGAGCTGGAGCGCCTGTCAGGCTGGGAGGAGGAGGAGGAGAGCTGGTGAGCGCGGGTCGCCCGGCCGGGCCGGGCCGGGGCTGGGCGGGGACGGGGCCGGGGGTGGAGAGCGTCTTCCGAGGGTACCCCCGGGAAGACACCTCGCTTTGTGTAACACCCGCTCTCTTGACGGGCGCTGGTGGGGTTTTTGTTTGTCTGTTTGTTTTTTGCTTTGGCTGCGGAAAGGTCACCTGGAGTTGGGGGTTCGAGGCGTGCTAGAGGAACGAACGGGGTTTGTCGCTAGTTTTCCTCTGGGTTGTTGTGGACCCTCTGGGTTTTAGCCCCCGTTGGGGTCTGTGGTTTGGCACAGCCTGGGAAGGAAGGGCTGCTCGCTGGGGGAGGAGTCGGCGATGGGAAAGTGCTTTGTAAGGGAAGGATCTTGCTTTGTGTGAAATACTGGAGGAGGGTGGCCTGTGCATTTTGGGTGTTGGGGAGGGGTCTGCGTGATGAGGTATCGCCGGGTGCGGGGAGCAGACCAGAGTGGTCTAGTGCGGTGGTCAGTGGTTTGGACCAGTGGGAGATGGATACATTTCTGGCCGCGGTGGGGAGACTGTGAATCAGCACTCCCCTTTGGGTAGTGGGGTAAAGCTTGCTTTGTGTGAAGAGGACAGAGGATGGTACTGCTTTGTGTGAAAAGTCAGGGTGAAACGAGAGCCTGGCTCTTATTTTTTAAACAAGAATTGGGTCTGTCATTTTATGGAGCTGTGAAGTGACAGTTACCCCATCCATCCTTAATTTCCGTGTCATCCTGGGGGCAGAGAAAAGGAGCCCTATTTAAAAATATATATCAAAGCTGTATTGTCATAAGCTATACTTCTTGATAGAGCTTTGACCTATACCGTAATACCACTTACATAAATAGAAAGGTCATGGGAGGCATTCTCCCTCATTTTATTGCAACCCCCTAAAGATGTCTAGGAGAAACTGTCTTAATTTATCCTTTTTAAAGTTTTGATTGGTAGCTAAACATGTGTCAACTCTTTGTTGAAATTGAAACTTTTAAGCCAGTGAAGTGGAAATTCTTCATGGACTCTAATATTTCAGAGGTGCAACTTTACAGTTACTGAGATAGTTAAGAGCTTTCAGGCCCTGGCTCTGCCACACTAGCTGTATGACCTTGGGCAAGTTACTTTGAGCTTCACTTTCTTCATCTGTTTGATGGGGGAAAATAATAGTTCTTATCTCTGTGGAGTTATGAAGATTACGTGAGATAATGCACGTATGCTTTTAGCACTGGGTCTGGCACATAGTAAACTCTCCAAAACAAACTGCAATTACTCTTCAGCCTAGTTACTTGAATCATGAAATTTTCTGTAAGCTCTTACAGGATCTTGTGGGAAAGTCTAAAGATTCATAACATGTTGATCCCTGTTCATTAAGGCAGTTACAGTCTTGGGAGCCAGGTTTTATGCAATTAAATATGCTAGGAGATGCACAGTGAATTGCAAAAAAAAAAAAGTGAGGGAACAAAAGTACTGAGAGCACTCAGAATTTGGAAAGAAAATGGTTCAAAGTAGCTGAGGCAAACTTTTAGGAGAGGTGACTTTGGAGCCTGGAGGTGGGGAAAGAGTGGGGAGGCCTTTTGCTCTGACAACTGCTAGAGCAGAGTCAGATATTTGTAACTCCCAATTAGGAAGGTTTGAATTACAGAGGTACTCGAATATATGAAATCAAGCTGTTATTTTATTTCCAAGTAATACGAAATATTATTAGAACTGTCTGTGGTAGTGACAGTTTTTCATAGTGTGAGATCACGTCTTCTCAAAAGAATCCTGGGTGTGTGTACACTTTATAAGAAGCCAGAATCATTTCAGTATCATCACATGCCTCTTCCAAGTGATGATGATAGTGATGCTCTTAATAATGAGGATTAGCTGCACTCATGAGCCCATTTTAGATTATGTATTATTAGAACACATTGACTCCACTTGGGGAAGCTGAATACCTATTTTGCTGCTTTGGCATTTGAGCAGAGTTTGTTCAGGTAAAGCAACTCTTGAATCCTATGCCAGAGTTTTCTTTTCACCGGATGGTTCTTGCTTATTGCTTTGATCCTGGCTACGATTCTTGATCCGATCGTTTTTCTGAAAAGATTTGTGTGAATTGAAAGTTTTATAAATCATTTAAAGTGCTTTAGAGTATGTTTTTGGAGTACAAATGGGAAGGGGTGGGTGTTATGAGGGGATTTCAAGGAAATCAAGATTTTTTTTCTTAGCGCACTAAAAATCTACTTTCTGTGACTTACACCCGTTGTACCTTCTTTTTCATCTAGAGTAATGTTTTTCCCCAAGTGTGTAGTATAAAATGCTAGTTCTGAAGATGTCAGTAGATACTGTGTGAAAAAATAACAGTGGGCCTGAGGTCACATGTATGTGGGGAAAAATAAGGTTTAACAAAAATAAACAATTTAATTTAATCCTGGACTTGTTTGATATGCTAATTGTAAATGTCTGAGGGAATATAGTAAATGTCTAAGTGGTAAACTCTTTTTGAGCTCCCAAGGAACTAGTTCTTATAGAACACACTTAGAACTAACAGTGCTTCAGAGCAGTGGCTTTCACAGCCTTTTTGTGGCCTTTTTTGGACTCACCTTCATGATAAACAAATACAGTTTACATCATAGCCTGTTACACATGTATATGAATAATTGAATTAAATGTATCACAAAACTGTAGTTGCTTGTAGTATATGTGGTAAGCTCTAATATTTTCTGTTTCTTTAGGGAAAAAAGGCTGGTTACAACCCACTAAGCTGATTTTGTGACCCATTAATGGGTTGTGTATCAGTTTGGAAAGCACTGTCCTAGAACAATTCAGAAGAGTCAGAGAAAGCAATTAACATCATTGTACATCACAGTGTATTAGGCTGTGCTTGGTAGCTTATAAACATTTACATTTAATTTTCATCTACTTGTGAATTAAGTATCCTTTTTTAGGTAAGGAAACATAATCTTTCTAAGCTTCAAATAACACACGGTAAATGATGGCGTTAGGATTTGAATCCAGGACTTACAACATCAAAGCTTATACTGTTCTCCCTGTATTTTGCTTTTTCCAGGTATAATCCCTTTTCCATATGAATGGCCTCTTAAAATATTTCAAGACTACCGTGTGATCCTGTTGACGTCTTCTGTCTACTGCATGCACGCGCGCGCGCGCGCGCACACACACACACAGCATTCTGTTCTCTTCTGCAGACTATAACAGTGCCAGTTAATATCGTCATTCTTAGATTATATAATTTTGTGATCCTTCAACCATGATCACTTTTCGCAATGAATTCTAGTTGCTCATTGTCATTTTCATCTAGAGTAATGGTACTCAGAACTGTACTCAGCAATTTTTTTTTTTTAAGATTTTAATCTCTACACCTGTCCTGGGGCTTGAATTCAGAACCCCCAGATCAAGAGTTCTATACGGACGGTATGACTGAGCCAGCCATGTGCTGGCTTGACTAGACAGTGGTGGTGGATACACCTTGCTTGAGCTAAATGCTGTTATTTTGAAACCAAATATTTCATTAACAGTTTTGGTTTCTGTTGCTTGTGTTTAATATGATCCAGTAGTGTCAGTTACACTCAGTATCTTTTATAGATAAGTTAAAGTAAGTCTCCCTAACCCTGTTTTTGTGTAATGAATTCTTTAGGCTTTTGTGTGTGTGTGTGTATATTTATATTTATATATTAGGCTTATATTTAAATTAGGTTTTTATATTTAATTTCATAGGCTTGATTTAGGCATTTAATATTTTTGTCATTTTCCTATTTGGTAGGCATATGTGCTGGGTCTTCATTCCGGTTGTTGATAAAAATGTTAAAATGACAGAGTAAAGGGCTCTGAAATGTGCAGCTCAGTTAGAATCCCTCCAGATTAACATCAGTCTATTAATCAACACACATTGTGGTTGTTCAGTAACTTAGTTCCACTTATTATCAAGTCCATATGCCATTTTTTTTAAAGATTTATTTGTCAGAGCATGAGTATATATGTGCACAGAAACAAGAGGAACAGCAGGCAGAGGGAGAAGCAGGCTCCCCACTGAGCAAGAAACCCATGTGGGACTCCATCTCAGAATCCTGGGATCACGACCTGAGCCGAAGGCAGACGATTAAACAACAGAGCCACCTAAGCATCCCTATATGCCATTATGCATGGATATTATGAAAGATTTTGCCAAATTGCTTGCTATAATTAAGTTACACTCTGCTTACAGGGTTCTTACCTGCGATGAAGTAACTCTGTCAAAATAGAAACTACATTTTATTTGGTTTGACTTTCTCATGGTGAATCCTGTCTTTTTCCTTTTTTAACTTCACAGACATTTTGTTTAATTCAGTTTTGAATTTTGCAAGGAATAAGTTTGGTCTGGAAATTCTAGACCTACTTATTTTTCTTTTTAGAAATTATCATATTTTCTCTTACCTACACTTTTGACCCTGATGTATTATTTTATCTTATTAATATTTTAAAATTTTTATTTAAATTTTAGTTAATATTCAGTGCAATATTGGTTTCAGTAGTAGAATTCAGTGATTCATCACTTACATAAAATACCCACTGCTTATCATAACAAGTGGCCTCCTTAATACCCATCACCCATCTAGTCCATCCCTCACCTCCCTCCCTCCACCAACTCTCAGTTTGTTTTCTGTTAAGAGACTTACGTGGTTTGTTTTCCTCTCCCCAATATATCCATCTGTCTTGTTTCTTAAATTCCATGAGTGAAATTATGGTATTTGTCTTTCTCTGACTTATTTCACTTAGCATAATACACTCGAGCTCTATCCACATCATTGCAAATGGCAAGATTTCACTTTTTTGATGGCTGAGTAATATTCCATTCTGTGTGTGTGTGTGTGTGTGTGTGTGTGTGTGTATACATATGCAATATAAGCTATTGTGTATATACATATGCAAAATTAGCTATTGTGGACATTGTTGCTGTATAAACATCAAGGTGCATTTACCCCAAATCTGTATTTTGTATCCTTTGGGAAAATACCTGGA